CTATTTACCTTTCCCAGCTTTGGGTTTATTGGCCGCGTGTAGATTGTGGGCTGATAAACTCTGTGGAGCTCTTTTTCCAGGAGCACGTGGAAATTTTAGCTCTCTTCTGGTTTGCACGCCTGGATTTGCTTCCCATGCAGGAAGAGGCAATAGATACGCTTCGACTTGTATGTATATAAATCCTTCACATTGGAGGGTACACATTTAAGAAACTGCTTTATTTAGGATTTTTTTGAATGGCTACCTGCTGGCAATGCGAAGCTTCTAGAAAATGTCGCTAAACGTTAAGTTCCCCTCATAACAAACCTTTTGGTTTTGCCTACACGTTATTGGTCAGTGTTTGAGAATCTAGTTTGATTCTTTCATCGAGTGAGATTTCTCATGTATGGCATGGCCCAAATTTTTAAGCATTAAAGAATATTTCCTTCTCAGGAGCTGATGATTTATTAACACAGCAGTGACATGTTTGAAGCTGTTTTTTAAGCTGGTATTGAAATACTCCTGGTATTTAGGTAGCATTTCCCTGTTCTTTGTTTAAGTATCTGTTAATGCTTTTCTTGACATCCAGATGTAATGAACTGTTTTGCACTGCTGGGACAGATGTGTATAAATATAAACTGTTACAGACAAGATATTTGTCATGTTTGCAACTGTGTATGCTGATTATACTGGAGTGTGGTAAACATGAGATGTGCGATTTTCGGTTAGCTCAGAAAATTCCCATGATAGCAAGTAATGTGATTGAATTTAAAGTTATTTCCTTCACTCTAGCTCTAAAATTTCAACTGTTGCTACTCATGACATTGTTTTTCTCGTCAACAAGAATCTTTCTGCCGTAGCCTTGGTGGCTTGATTTCTTTCATGAGCACTCTTTATCACCTGCTACCAGTCTATTCAGAGGACATACTATTCCTTTGTCCATACAGGGCAAGTTTTTGATACGCAATTATAGGAATGTACACAATTTTGCATAGTACAGCACAGTATCAGCATGGTCTCTCCAGCAGATTCTACCAACGTGCTACGGCATAGAGAGGAAATCTTTTAATAAAAAGTACTTGAAGTCAAGTACTTTTGTGTACTTGACACAGTCAGTACTCTGACTGAAAATAAAAATTCAGAGCTGTCAGTTCTGCGCTTATTTATTTAATTTACAGGCAGGGGACAAATGTAAATATGTAGCAGTAGAAACTGGCATTTTGAATTCCAAACACACCCTTAGTAGGCTTTCCCCTTCACAGAAAAAAGCCCTTCTCATCTCTGATGAGCTTTTTATGCCCCCTCGCCCTAACAGCTAACAAAATGTCATGTTCAGTGGCATAACAGGGATCAGAATCCACTCCTAGCTTCCAAATGTTTGACTAGTTTGATTACTTAACCTTTGCAAATGTACTGAGAATTGGAATATATTTTGCATATTTCCGCATAATATTGAAAAATATTAATGTGTTTCTGTCAAAATTACATAATTGGGACACTTTATTAAACCACAAATATGTTCTGTCAGTTTTAATTTTACCTCTAGGTAACATCAGAGTTTAACAGGATATCACATACAACTTTTTCATCTTATAATAATTATCCTATTTTAAAACATTGGGAACTTATAAATACGTTCAGATATTACCTTCCTATAAATTTCCATAGACACAGAAGAGTGGTCCCTGACACAACTCAGACTATACAGTGATTTTTAGGAAGCAGTATCTGAAGTAGTTCCATAGGGTAATTCAGTGAATGTAGTATTGATACAGAGCTACTAATGTGGAACAGTTGAGGTGAACTTAAGTCAGGCTTATGGTGAAAGAGCCACTCTGGCTTATATGCTTACATATATTTCCTTTGTACATGTGAATTTAGAAGTTTCTTCTGTATTAAGCAGCAAAAATTATGGTATATTTGTGAAGTGCTGACTTGGTTTGGTGCAAGTGGAACCTTTCTGCCAAGATCCACGTTGCAGGCTGAAATGAACGCTCAGTGTTGTCCTCCTGCAGGACTGCCACGTAGCTGCTCAGGCCGAGTCACCACAATATAATACACCCTTCAAAATGGAACAGTCTAAAAGTAGCTACAGTATTTGGCCACACAAAGGAATGTTTTTATGCAGAATTATAGGGCTTGTAATATTCCAGAGGTCAAGTAGTTTTCCTGTCTGCACATCCCATAGTCCTTGTCCATCTGTGAAATACAAAATTAGACTGAATAATCAGATTTTCCTTACTATTTTATTTCAGACCATATTTAATATACTAGTGCTTCTACTGTAGCTGGGAATTGACTGGAAGGCTGCAAGGATATTTATTTTGTCTCCTAGTAGTTGTCACAAATATTTGCCTCCATTATGATTCTACTCAAAATGACTCTGCTTGGTGGTTTACATCAATACTGCCACTCAAAAAAAAAAAAACCAACAAAAACCAACCAAACAACAAACCCCCAAAAGTCAAAAAAGTTGGAGGAAATGTGAAATCTGGGAGACAAGCTGCTTTGGATGTACTTCCACGCTGGCACTTTCCAAGGAAATTCTAATTATGTTAACGTCTTCAGCTCTTGCTTTTGAGTTTTGTTTTTGGTGGGTTTTTTGTTGTTTGTTTTTTTTTAATTAGCAGAGTATTTATGACAGCCCCTTTCCTTTTCCCCTCAGGGGTGTGTGTAAAGCAGCCATTGTTACTAGCAAGTGCAGAGCCCTGGGGCACTGTCCTCACCTCACCCTGTGGTGGCAACCCCGAGGGGCTTTTGTTGCGCTCACCCACCTGCATACAGCGGCAGTCAGTCCTTCTTCTAGGCCGTTCCTTGTCATTCTTTGAGAGCGGAAGATCCCACGTCCATTTCAGTATAGATCTGTGCACACAGGGACACTGTACGATACATACTTATTTATGATTAATGGGCATGAGTGTGATCCTATGCATAAATTGGTTGATGAGTACGAGGCCTTGTCAGGCACTCCATTAAGGCTGCACAGGAAATTCTAAAGCCAATTTGAGTTGACTTCTTTTTCTCAACTGACTGTGATTTATGTTTGGATATTCAGCTTTTAGACTGAAATCTTTTATGCTTTTTGGATAGAGACACTGAAAATGATTCCTTCTGCTTTAGTCAATAAGAGGTTTATAAGCAGCACATTCTTGCCATAAGGCAGAAAACGTTACGTGCAGTATTTTCTTTTCAGTGTGGTTACAGTAGATGGCACTGAAAGATGTACGACATGCACACTTTTTCTCTGCAGCAGGAGACACTGCAAATTTGAAAACTAGTAGAGACTTTACCATGTATAGTTTTCAGCGTTGAAGAGAAAATCCGATTTTGAGTTATTAAGTTTGGAGAATAAAATTCATACACCTGCCTGCCCTAGATAGCAGAGGATAGAAACTAATGGTTTCCCACTTTTCTATTAGAATGGCATATGTTGCATGAAAAACTGGAGAGAACGCCGCTTTTAATTCACCTGTGACATTGTGATATATTCAGACCAAGGCAGCCTGCAGGAGGAAGGAAGAGGTCTGCGTAGCGAAGCTTCTGCAGTAGTCACTAATAGCCATCCAGCAGATCGGCATCTCCTTTGAGGCTCTGCTGCAATCTGGTGAATTTAGGAGAATCCTCTGGCTTAGGGGTAGATCCACCAGCGACTGCATGTATTTTCCTTGTCTTTCTCAGCCTTCACCCTCCCTGAAGCACGTTAACTGTATGGGAACAGCAATAAGAACACCATCAATACCATCAATAGTTGGGAAAACTGTCTAAAAGAGGACTAAACAGACTGAGGACAGAATAATGCTACTTGTTTATTACATACTCCTCTAGCTGGAACAAAACCTGAAAGTTAACAAGGCATTGTTGAGTACAAATGACTTCTCAATTCACTTACTGCAAAGCTGACTTTCCAGCTATAAAATGAATCAGATGGTTCTTGGATAGCTGAAAAACAAGAAAACCAACCAAGCTGACAAAACTGTGTCTGTATGAAATGGAGCTCTGCTTGTTATTTGGAGGTGTCAGATGAAATTTGAGCCTAGCCTTGTGAAGGAGTCATCTGTGGTTTTGTTCTCTGAGCCCTGGGTACAACTTTCCTCTGTGGACGTTTTCTTTAACTCAAACTAGTTTCTTGCCTCAATCCAAATCTTGATCCTCAAATCATTGGGAATTTTGATTTGCAGCTGTGTAAGTCCTGAACTACCAAAACCTTCAACAGAGTTGAAAACCTAAACCAGAACTTGATTCTGATTTGCTCGTGTGTGTCCGCCAGCAAATACATTTTTAAAAGATCGTAGCATATGATATAGATGAGGAATGATACTGCATTCCAGCTTCCCTGGAAGCCCCGTCTCTTCTAAGAGCAGGGGCGCGCGTTGTGTTTTCATCTGGTTGACAGACATGGGGGCTGCTGCTGTGAGCTGAAGAAGGTAAACACTTTGCTGAGACATAGCAAAAATCCCCAACACCTTTGTAGAAGAACGTAAAAAATCCATCAAAATCCAAAACTTGCTGTGGAATGGAGAAAACATGGTCAAAACCAACATTTATTTCTTTTTCATCCTTTCCCCAGACTCCCTTGGCATTTTTTCCTTCTGCGTTCTAGTCTTACACAGATACCAAGAATTAGACTGCTGATAGTAGCATTATACAGCACTTCAGCGGTGGGCCCGCATCTTCCATATGAACAAGAGCTGGGATGCAAAAGGGTGGCAATGCAACTGGGACAGAGAACCAATGGGACTGCGAAGAGCAGGAGAAGGTCAAATGTTTGTGTGTGTTGCAGATCAAAATGGAACCATTGATGTAGTGGTGATGAGTCAGTGTGCTAGCAGCAACTGGGAGGCCAGTAAGCCCCAGTGTGCGTCTCTGGTGGTTTTGTGTGTGTATGTTTTCAAAGTGGAGCTAGATGGAAGGAGTGGTGAAAAAGGCCAATGCTGCGTACAGAGGCTGCACAGCTGGGGTTGGAAGTGGAGTTGTATCAGCTCTTCCATTCATCACCTTTTTATTTCTTCCTTCCTTTCCAGGTGCAAGTGGGAAGTACACCTCAGGACCAAAGAATTGTGGGATACATTTCCTGCACTCACTTGCAAGCTATTGCAGGTACTGTCCTAATTTGCATATCTTAGTTTTTCACTGTTTCTAGGCCTGTGGTGGTGTCCTTGTGCAAGCATTGCTCCTCCAATATTTCTGACTAAGTGCAGCGTGCATTGCAAGTAGCAGTGAAACAGTGAAGAAAGAAGGGTAGACAAGTATATCCCCAAACCTTCACGTTTTCGGTCTCGGAGTAATTAAGTATTATAGGACACAAACAAAAAATATCCCTTGAGAGCTTTTCTTCTCTTTGCTCCCTCTTAACCAAACACTGTTATTTTAGCAAATACATTACTATCATCATTACTCCACAGCACTTAACAACCCATACTGTGAGTATCAGCATATAAACCAAAATTTCTTTGTACCTAACTAGGGGATTATCAGAAGATACAAGTTGGGACAGTTTTTCCATCAGAAATCAGTAGCTGGAGTAAGCCCACATTCTCTAGGTTTTGACCTGCAAATTTCATACATAAATGGCTAGCAAGTTAATACACTCCTTGAAAGATTCTCTTGGTCGTGTTTAAAAGCAGTTCATTCTATTACATCTACTACAGCATGACACAGCATGCTGTGTCCTTTGTCTCATGAAACACTATTTTCTAAGGTCGTTAAAGATAAATAAAATGCAAGAACTCTTAGCAGGGCGTGGAAGGCTTTTTTTTGGAATTTTCACTGAATTATCTTCAAAAAGAATGAGATGTTCTTTAACAGCTGATTTCTGTGTCTGTGAGATATGTGGACTCCACTGCTTCCCATAACCAGACTGGAATTTCATGTAGCTCTGTCAGGTTATGGTGGAGCCTGTTCCTCCTTCAACCATCTTATAACCTTTTTTAATGATAGTATCGCAACATTCAGCTCTCCTTTTAATATTAATATGGAGAACAAGACTGAGGTAGATGGGTGGCCTCATCTCCATTTTACAACCCAAGTCCAGAAAGCAAGGGGAAGCAGAGTTAGTAACTTGGGGTCGTTTTACTCGATTTTTAGTGTTCTGATGCATCTATTTTGAAATCAAGATGCTTCTCCATTTTAGCTGTTTGCCTGAACACTCATCAATTAAAACTGACAAATACTTAAATTCTTGGAGATGTCTATGGAAAGTTTTCCATGTATCTCTCCTATCTTTTGCATCAAAACTACCAGCTCTATACTTAGAGTAGGTGTAGCAATAAAATAAAAGCCAAACCTACAAACCTTTACTTTGTGTAAGATCAGAATTGAATTTAGCCAGAGGGGTGGATATCCTTAGTTTTACTTGATGCAACTGTGATTCTTGTGCTCCTGAGAGCTGGAGAGCACGACACAGCCCTCCTAGACTGCTTGAAGACAGCATGTATGCTGCAGCCTGAGACGAGGCAGTAATGTATTATAAATGGTAGAACTTTGAACCTATGCGCTGCAGCATGTCTCAGTTAACCCACTCGGGCAGCTCGCATTCATTCTACTTCGTCAGTGCTTCAGTTGCAGAGAGACAGGCTTGGGAACAAAACTGCCAGTCCCTGACGTACATTAGAGAGACTGGATAGTTCTAGAGAAGATTCATGAATTTTTCAGCTACGTTTTAACACCGTAACGTCCTTCTCTGGTTTTCTATTTTTAACTCTGGAATTATGGTAATGTACTGCGAGATTGCTGTTGTGGAGCTGAGATTTGTTGCTGTTCTAGTTTAGGTTATAAACCTCCATTTTTAGTCCTGTTCCTTTTTACTACCTAGTCATGTATTCTCAGTTAGTCTTTGATAACCACACTGTGAAATCCCTGAAATATTAGAGAGGAAGAGGGGAGAGGGAAGAAGAATGGGCAAGTAATGTTCTATTTTCAAATCAGCCTAAAGCCTCTTCAAAGGTAAAACGCAACCCTTCATTTTCCTACTTATGTTCTTGCTTTGTATTTTTAGGCTTATCTGGTTCAAACTACATTCAGATAGAGCAGACAACGATTTACGAGTCTAACTGTCCTTTGATATATCCTATTAGTTTATGTATGAAATGGAAAACTAAAGTTCATCAGTTTGGCAGAGCTGTGCTTTCTGATTTGTATCATCTGATTCATAACATTTCACACATTTAAAAAATTATCCAAAGAACAGTTCAATGATGTAAAGATGTGGTATCTATAAAAACAAGCACTGTTTAAAAGGTTAGCCGTTTAAATCATCTTGTTGTACATGGCTGAGTGCAGTTTGGCTTCCCTTCTAGGATACGTAAACTTACACTTGACAGTTCTGATACTTATAAAGTGAAGGGACCCAACTGCTTATGGTCAAGGGACGAACTACTAATGCTTTTTTCAAGAGATGTGCTGGCTCAACTCTGTTCTGAGGAATTACTATTTTTTCAGACCCGACATTCACCTTTTTCAATAAAACTTTGGATTAGGTGTAGTTCATCTTCTCAATTCTCTACCTATTACCGAATGGTGCTATGAAGCAGCTCTTCATTTCCACCGTGGAAACAGCTGCATTTCAGTGACAAATGAAGGGATCTTTTAATGAGACCTGAATGTAATTATTTTCCAAGGGGCTGTTAAGTTTACGTGGTTCTTTTATGCCTTTCAGTTAGTCAGTGATTAATGTTCTGGAGAGGTTTTGCTGCCTAGAATCCACCCACCTCCCAAGTCCCTTTGAGTCGTGCCTTTCAGACACTCCACCAAGCCATCAAAACAGAGTAAGCCTCGAGCTATTCCAGCCCCAGTCCAGATGATGCAGCATGCTGGATGCTATCTCATAACCTCTTTCACGTCCCTGTTTTGCGTTTAGTGTGAATCTAGTCGTTAGCAGTACAGGTACTGGCAACTCATGCTTCTCTAGCACCAGTTTCAGGTTCCACAAGCCTACACACAGCTTAAGCAGAACTCGGCTCACAGCTGAGAGAGATCCCTCAGTGTTTAAAATTCTGACTGCACAATCAGGAGTAACTTGGGTGCTAAGCATCCTTAGGCAGTGAGTCCACATGTTTCTGAAATAGCGAAGCTGGCGTATCCACGCTGTGGCAGCCTGCCCTTTCTTTCCCCCTCCTCTCTGCGGTGCTAACACAGCTGTTGTAGGCTGTGTTGCCCTTGACTGGGGACCTGACCTAGCTGAAAAGTAACCCAGCAGAATAAAAGGCGTCGGTTTTGTTGTTTCGGTTTTTTGGGTGGTTTGGTTTTATTTTGTTTTGTTTTCCCAGCCTACCCTGGGTTAACTATGTTACAAGTGTAGGGGTCTGCTTCATCTGTGACACAGCCTGTCTCATGGCTAAACTGAAGCCATGGTTGTGACTTGGAAACAATTCTTCCTTTTGACTAGGCTTTACATCCTACACTTTACAAGCTTTTTTTGCTCATCATCTTCCCCAGATACCCTGCCGATATATCCCGTAGCACTTATCAGTGCTGAGAACTCTGGTTTTAAAAACCTTCACTGGATCTTTTAATTTCCTCTGACTAGGCCTGTGTCAGCTGCTTTGTGCAACCATCATAGAGCTCCTTCTAACATCTTTCAGAGTAGGACAAAACAGTCTTCCTCAGTGTATAGTACCCACCTGCAGGTCTAATTAAAGCCAGGATTTCACTTAAGCATTTCCAAAGTGAATGGAAAGGGCAAGTATGATTATCCTGTAATGAGCAAAGGTGAAACATTTGTCCATGCTGGGTGAGGTTTCCCACACTACCCTTTCATCCTTCCACAAAATCTGAAGCTGAAGGGAACTTGGAAAGAATTCGGAAATGCTGACTGCAGGAACCAGTCACAACACAATCATTTGCATTTTTCCAGGCCAGTTACTGAGGAAAAGAGTGTAGAGCAATTAGCACAAATCTGTTTTCTGTGGTTAATCACTGGTGGCAGTCAATCAGATTGGTGATTCTATCTGAACGTTTAATTGGAGCTGAAGGCTGGAAGAAGGAGAAGTTGAATGTTAGTGTTGGGAGTTACTACCTAGGTCTCTTCTGTTAATATTTACTGATGCTATTTCATTTCAGCAGCAGTTTCTGAAATGTCTGCTCCCCTGATTGTTCTGGATTCAGGTTTGGCTTCTCCTCTACTTAGGTGTCTGATTACTTCAGTTCTCTTCATCTCCAGAGCTGTTGATCATTGGGAGCTCCTAAGACTGAGTCTCACTAGTAACTTTTGCATACAGATACATGCAGTACCTGCTGTGTAGCTGCGGTAAGCTGGATACCGTTAGTTTAATATTAATCTCGGAAAACAGTTATATTCAAGTCGCATTAGAGGATCCCATCTTTTGTCATGGAAATGTATCATTTCACACGCTCCACGGAGGGTACTGAAGTGCAATTACTTCTATGACCTCTAGTGGGGATAATCAGAGATGCCAGACTATCACAAGTTCTACGCTTTTTCTAAAAAGAAATGAAAGTCATCTGTTTCTAGCGTTCCAAGGCTACTATTTTCTGCAGAGCCCTGAGGTTATCTGGTGTGCAGTGCTGCTATGAAGGCTCAGCACTCTTACCGAGGGAGATGTATGTCACTACGTAGTTAATGTTTTTTTAATAATAGCAATGCATGTTACCAGACACCTTTCACAATATCCTCCTAAAATGGTTTTGCCTGTCTGTCTTTTGTTTTTCTCAAGAGTTTTCTGGTTTGGAGAATTTTACCTTGGTGTGTTTCATTTAAGTGGGTTTGCTACATTCTTCACGCTGGTCTGTGACAGGTTGCTGCCTGAGTTTTATGCCTGTAGGCTAATGGTCGCATTATTTTATCATTCATCTTAGTGAAGCCACGCCAGATGGATAATTCACAGAAAATGCAAAAAAACCTTGACAATTCAGGGATGTAAAAGCTGGTCTTAGACAGTTACGCAATTTATATAATCAGGACTTACTGCATTCTTGTCAACAAGCACCATGCGTAAAAGTTATGTTATGAGGAAACAAAGGCAGGCCAGAAGGAAGTACTGGCCTAAGGAGATGAGACAGGATAGAAAGATTCAGGTGCTGCAAAAGGACAGTCCATGAATTTGAATAAAGCTTCACCAGGAACGAGAAAGCTGGGACTTTTCAGCTTCAAGAGAAGGCGGCTCAGGAATGATCTTATCAAAGTGTGTAAATACCTGACGGGAGGGTATAAGGAAGATGGAGGCAGACTCTCCTCAGTGGGGCCCAGTGACAGGACAAGAGGCAACGGGCACAAACTGAAACGCAAGAGATGCCATTTTAACAATGGAAAACGTTTTTTATTCTGAGTGTGGCTAAGCGCTGGAAACAGGTTACCGAGAGGTTATGGAGTCTCCAACCACAGAGATATTCAAAGCCTGACTGGACGTGGTCCGGAGCAACCTGCTGTAGGAGACCCCACTTGAGCAGAGGGGTGGGATTAGGTGATCTCCAGAGGTCCCTTTCTGTGAATCTGTAATTTCATCTATATCTTTAGTTAAGCAGAACGTATATGTTAGTCATGCACACCTTTTGTGGTTAGTGTCACCTGCTACAGGCTGTATTTATTGCTGTGACCTATTTCTTGTGCTTTTGTCTAGCTACGTCTTCACTGTAGGGCTTTCTTGTGCTGTTGGAGCGAGGGGTTTTCCCAAGAATACATTGGTCTGGATTTGTGTCAAGCTGCGTGATTAGGGTACTGCATGACCTTGAGGTACAAGTAACTAGAAACTGTAGGCTAGGGAATAGATCCAGGAAGCACTTGTACCTGCTTTTATATTACAGCCCAACCAGTAAAGATTTGTTGGGAAATAACACGAGTGGAAGAAAAAAATCAGATTATTTGCTCTTGGAATTACCAGTCTCAAGAGATGAGTCAGTGTCAGAACCTACTTAAAGCGCTCTACCCCCCCCAAGACGTTCTTGAGAATCCAGCCCTTCACAGGTTAAGAGTGGTAGGAAAGTGAAGTCCTAATGCCTGAAGTTTGTCTGTACGCTAACGCAGTTACAGTGTGCTGCGGAGTTCACATTTTAAAAGTCTAGAAAGAGAGCTGGTGACAGCTGCAGTTCAGCCAAGTGAAGAACAAGCTGTGAGGATGTAGACTTAAATATTCACCATCTCCACAGTGGCCACCGAAAGCAGTTTTGGACATACATAACTGATGCTTCTAATTGTGTTATACACCTTTTTAATAGCTAGCACAAAGTAGTAAATTAGGTTAGAATAGAATTGTAGTCAGAACAAGTCATTCTGGGTTTGCTGCTTTTCCTTCTGATTGTGGCATTTGAAAACAAATCTTTTATTTTGAAGAAAAGTAATATTGTTCTGACTTGACGTATCATTTCAAGTCTGAAACAAGCAAAATTATAACTGTCAACTATAGGTACAGTGAAAACAAAAGAAAAGGAAAGGAAAGACAATATAGTAAACAATTATTTCTAGAATGTCTCTTCCTGCTTCTTTCCTCACATCAAGTTTTTGCTGTAATCATTTTAAAAGAGCCAGTAATTAATTTTTTCTTAGACTTCATGTCACCTAATGTGCTTGAAATTAAGTGTGGTTAGTTGCTGTAATTAAAGAGCAGGTTTGTGTGTCAGCTGGTTTCACAAGTAACAAATATTTGGCAACCAATCAACCTCAACCCTTTCATGTCACTCCTATAAAACGGGGGCACATCCTCAGCACATGGAGACTAGTGTAACTTCCCTGCGAGCGGTGAAAAGGATCTGGTTCTTTAGTTCTGAAGTACTGCCTACCTAAAGCTGTATCTACACATACCTTCAAAAATATGACAAAATACGTCCAGTTTAGGCATTCTTACTTAAACACAAATAGAACCCTTCCTCGGATGGACTGCTACAGGATGAGTAAGTTGAATCTACCATTGATGTATATTTACTAATACCACTTGAAAGTTAAATTGTTCGTTTTTAAAAATTAGAAAGCAAAGCAAAGAAACATCAAGTTGTTTACCCTAGAACATGCTGTCCAGTTTTGTCTGAAGTAGGATTTTAACTCCTGAACTCCTGATTATAAACAGATCATCCTCCTCCTGTGGCTAGAAACATCATCATTTTGGCTGGTTGTCTGCAGCACAGATGCCTTGTCTTATTTCTTCAGATGGGCCTAGTATGATTGATTCCAGGAGGAGATATTTGAACCATCAAAAAGCATGGTTCCTGATGAGCTTCATAATGGGCTAAGCACGATGCACTGAATATACTATTAGCCACACCATTTTTTAATCTTGCACCCTTTTTCTCAAGATGTCTAGCAACAGCTTAGCAACTAGTATGTGTCTGAGTAACATGCTAAAAGGAGAACTTCTTTCTTCTTTTGGTTATTTGTTTGTTTGCTACAGGAGATACTACTGTTCGGTGTGAGCAACTGGATATGCTTCAAGATTGGCTGTCTGAATTCAGAAAATCTACCTCCTCCTCCAGTACAGCCAATCCAGAGGAGCTGGTGGCTTTTGATGTGATCTGTGGAGATCTCAACTTCGATAACTGCTCCTCTGGTAAGACAAGGTTTTCCTTTTCCTGGCGTCTCCCTATTCCAGAAAGGAATAGGAAAGTTCTTGATTCCTGTGGGTTATAGCAGTATACTAAGTTGTGACTGGCTTTTGCAAGGAAAGACTTAATTGCTACAGTTACTTTTAAAATAGGTAGTAGCCTTGAGATGAGCCAAGGAGAGTAGCTCACACTTAGGAGCTCTGCTGAGTTATTAAGCATGATGTTTCTTAAGGCACAAGGGGCAATAATTTGTGACTTGCAGTAGCTATGATGAGGACAGATCCAGTGGTTTAGCTTTACTTGAATTAGGTAGACACCTATTGTCCTAGAATTTTAGTTACTAATGAAAGACATGTATGTTATGGGATTTTTGTGGAGAAAAAGCAGTAAATTCATGCAGTTAAAAATAATTTGATAGTGCATATATGCAGACATAAGAGATGAATGCTGCAGAGAGAACTAAACATTGCTGAATCAGTCTTGGAAAAAATTAACTGATGCTGTGAACTTCTGGGTTTTTTATTTTAATAAATTTTTGATATTTTTTTCTATATTTGGATGCTGAGGGTACTAGAAAAAGAACTCCACAAAACCATAATTAACGGGTGGTGAGTTCACAGAGATGGCAGCCTTTTCGAAACATAAATATTATGCTCTGTTAACACTTAAATTGCCAACATAGAGCGCAGAGCATTGTGTTTGTGTATCCTCTCTGCCTTCCCGCTTGGTACAGTAGCTCAGGCGTCCAGCAGAGCTCCCTGCTGGCTTTATATGACGGCAATCGACTCTGCTGGTTTGGAGCTGGCAAATGGATCAGCCGTGCCCAGCGGCCAGCCTCCCGCAAGGCTGATGGCCAAAAGGCCTTTTGCGTGACTGGGCCAAAACTGAAGCGCACAAAAGTATACAAAGAGCGCGAGGCAGGTACGGCGAGGGGGGTTCATCAGAGGGATTTCGTCTGTGCTGTGTTACCAGGGCGATGTGCAGCGTACAGGTGAGCTCAGGCTGCAGCATTCAAAGCGGGATTCAGCAATTCAGACCAGAGCTTGTGGATTAACAGGGGAGGGAGTCTGTGAAGGGCATCCAGTGCCAATTCTGTAGTCTTCATAAGAAGCCTAGGTAACTGAGGCTGAGAGCAATAACTGTACCAAAAATAATTTAAGAAACAAAAAGCGAGCATTGTCTGATCTCAAAAATAACTAGTATTCTCTAATCTCATGACTTGTATCAGATACTTGTAATGGAAGATTTTAGCAAAGCTGGAGAAACATTTAGTTGGGTAGAAAAGACCATCAACCCCAAACACAGTCCTTCTGTTGTTTGTTTCTAGCTTGTTACGTACAAAACCCAAATCAGTCACAACTATATGATCCAAAGTAAACTCAGAATGGTCAGAGAAGGTGCTGGCAAAGTGCTCTGACTGGTAGAAAAATCCATTATGCACTGTGCAGGTGAACAGTAAGTGGTAATGGCTACAGAATACTGCAGTTAAACAAACACATATTAGGATAAAATATAACGGTAGCAGTGGTAGTGAGTTTTTAGGGAAGGACGGAAGAAACGTGGTCAATAACAGGCCTTCAGCTAGCCAAGCTGCTACGCAGACAGGCTGAGGAGGCAACTGCAGCGGTCCCGATGAAGGGAGGCAGAAGCCGGGGGACACAGACACATCTGCTGCGATTTGACTGTTTCACTTGCAATATTGTTGGATGGATGGAGTGGCCTGGAGGCAAAGACGTCCATCCAGGAAATACACAATCTGCTGCATACCAAAGGGGAGACTGCCCGGTCAGATCGCAAATCGAAAGTGAATGGGGCTGTGCAGCAGGAGGGGGGAGAGAGACAGGAGTGAAGCTGTGCGGCAGAACATGTGGTCGGTATTCTCCACCTGAGAAGCTCTGGCCCTCTGACCAAGATCTTGCACAAGCAGTACAGAGTATAATTAATGCTGTTGTGACCTGTCTTTTTAAAGCAAAAGTAGAAACAACTATTTGCTTTTGCAAATAATAGTTGTAAATATCGCAACCGCTACTAAAGAGGATTGAAATGCAGGTTATAAAAAAGATTTTATTTTTGCTATCTCTGCACCTTATTTACATTCCCCTCCCCTTTAAAATTCACTCAGCCCGGAAACTGAAATTAAGCTGGCTATTTCATTTTTTATTTTTAGATTGCTTTCTTTCCTTACACACTAAGCAAGATTAATGCAGTATTTTAAAGTTTTCTCCTCCATCTGTACATTACTCATTGTTTTAGGGACATTTGTTAGCGTTGCAGAGAATTGAACATTTTAAGAGTCTTTTTTTTTTTTTTTTAAACAATAATCAGCTTCCTGTAATTCTGTATGTGATTTTCTGTATTCTTTCCCACTCCACAGACCGATACGGCACGTAATTAATGTTTCAGTGAATATCAAGCTTCTATTCTTAGAGGTATTGACAGTACGGTTTTCAAAGATCTCCAGGTCCATGAGCGACCTTATGCGTATGACAAATTTTCTGCAACTCAGTTTTCCCCTCCAGCTTTACAGAACATTATGACAACATTCATACAGTGAATGAGCACTTGGTGGGAACATTATTAGAAAGTTACTTGTTGTCAGGTTGTTTTGGACTGACTTGTGTAAAAGTCTATTACGTTTTTAAACCTTTTCACCCAAGATAAAAAGCCTTCCAGTCAGATGAGTTAACTTTGTCTCATCACCTGTGACTTGTCGCTATCAGTGCCACAGTTGCAAATTAATCATGACAAAATTTTAATGTATTATGGTTATGTTTAGAATGGCTTTAATGCTTTAGATAATATCCCAAGCGAATTATCAATTGTCTGTCCTTTCTCTTGTCTATTATAGCTTGGAAAACATTCAGTGAATTCTACTGAAGCATGTAAAGCACAGGCTTTTATCCTCAAGCTTACTGAGATGTATACATACCCCCACAAACAGCCATTGACATTGTGAAGTCAGTCCAGTTCTCCATTGTACGATCCATCCCAACAAAGTTTTGTACCGGTGTAAGCCATGTAGTGTCAATGGCAGGGTAAGGAAATACGTTGGAAAACCTCCACTTCAGTTTACAGTTAGAAACCACCAAAAAATATCTTTCATAGAAAGACTTTATAGGAAAGCACTGTTATTAACAAGCATTTGTCGGAATTTCTAATCCAGACAAGATACTGCTGTGCAGTAAAGCTACTACTGAACTGGTTCAAATCCACCCTATATATGTATCGTGAGCAGGAAGGAGGAATTGCCTTTTCTGTTGTGGCAGAACACACGGTTGTCCACAGGTTTACCACACGTAGCTGATGTGCCTTTTCTTGGGCTTGTTCTTTCCCTGCAGAGGACAAGCTGGAGCAACAGCATTCTCTGTTTACACACTACAAAGACCCATGTCGACTTGGTCCTGGGGAGGATAAACCATGGGCAATCGGTAAGACCTTCTCTAGCTATCAGTGTATGAACATTTACTTGTCTGTCACTCAGCAGGTAGTTCAGCTAACTGGCGGTAAGAACTTGGTGGAGACCAAATATTTACAAGGAGTATTTCTGTAGCATGTATTTTATAAACCTTAACAGGGTCTTGTTGAACTATAAGAACCAATCAGAGATTTCAAACTTCAGTCCACATTCCAGACCTTATGCATCAAGCTACTTGAATGCCTTCCCACACCTATTCTACTTTCAAAATAATCTCTAGATTACTGTTTTAAAAAATACTTATATTTAGGGGGGGGGGGGGGGAGGCAAATTATTGTTTCTGTAATTTCTGCATGCAGTGAAAGCCTGCAGCTTTTGATCAGAATGTTCCATTTGGTGTTCTATAAATCCTGTAAGTGAGGATGTAACAAAGGAATTCAACAACACTACAAGCTTGTAGGGTTCATCTTATAGAAGACTTCACGGAACTCCGAGATATTCATACCTGATGAAACTCAGCTGAACTTGGTGAAGTTTTAGATCAGGAATTAAGACTTTCTCTAGAGGAGTAATAATAACTGTGAAGATAGTAAAGGTAACAACGTGGAGCTGTTTAATTATGTGGCTTTACTCTGTTGTAGCAGAAAAACAAAAAAAAAAAATCAGAGACATTGGGGCTGAGAAATGGGAAGGGCGGAGGCAGCGTTTTGAAAGGTGGCAGGCAGTCGGGAGGTCTGGATAGAGGAGAAGCGAACACAAAGCGCCCTCAGTCAGAGCGGACCCCTCTCCCCCACGCAGATGCTGCCTTCACACACCTCTGCCCCCGGAAGCTTCTGAGAGGCAAATCACAGGGGGTATGCTGGGACAGTCACATCTCCCTTTCTCTTCACAGGTACCTTGTTGGATCCTGAAGGATTATATGATGATGAAGTGTGCACTCCAGACAACCTACAGAAGTATGCGTATTCCTAATCCTCCCACATGCTTTAGACAGTTGCTTAAAAAGCCAGTTCATTGCTTGCTATTTAACATTTCACAAATTGAGGGATGGTTTATGGACTGTAAAAAACAAAACAAAACAAAAAAACAAACATGACTTTTTACTCAGGGGTACTTGGGGAAGAGGAAAAAAAGGGAAGAAAAAGAGGCTGCTTCTCTAAGTCTAATAGAATTGGCTTCAATGGGTGAAAAGATGAGAGCAACTGCAGTCAGTGTTTTTAGGTCTCTAGAGTTGATCCTACCTGGACAGGCCCATAGGACAAGAAACTCGGAGCACTACCAGAAGGGGTACGTGGACAGCTTGTCTGAACGTCTTCCTGCAGGCAGCCAGTTCCGTGGTCACAGCACTGTAAAGGACAGCAACAACAGGAAATATAGTTTTCCTCAAATAAAAACCCCATAGATTTTAAAACACCACCCCCCAACCCAACAACTAATTACCCATTCTAGAAAGCTTGCAGAATTCGACACCCATAAAAAAGCAAGCTCACAAATATAGAGAGGAATTAAATAGCACACCAGGCATAACTAGGAATATGGCTTAATATCTGTCAGTGATACCAGTGCACCACTACTTTTAAGGAGTGTTTGATACTGAGAAACGGGTATCTTTGGTTTCAACTAGGGGACTTATAAGAAATACAAAAAAACTTAATTTGCAGAAGTCTTAAGATAAATTCCTTGATTACCTGTACTGTTTGTTAAATAATATGCCAGTGGAGAGAAATTAGTAAGCTTTGTACGTTTTAGAGCAGCACTTAATGAATGTGATAATCCTTTTTGCACCTTCTCTACCTTGAAGGCGAGTTTAATGGACGAAATGTGATTATCATGACTAACTATAAAAGATGTTCTGGCTATTCGTTACCAAAATATATTAAAGAAGTAAAGTTATTTGAATTAATGAACCTGTGCAGATGCTTCAGTTAACACGCATAATGGAAATGGTACATTATATAGGCACAGTTTATGTTGGCATTTTTACTCACTAAGTACAGTACACTGCGTGGTATAGATGGACACTTAGTTGAATGTATTAGGTGAGGCTGCCCCTTGAAGTCTTTGTATCAGTTTGAACAAAGAAACTGAATTCTAGACATAAGATCTGGGCTTAGTTTATATTCAAAATAAGGATTTGTTACAGCAAGTCACACTTTGCACGTCCAAGAGCCTGCAAAATTTCCTGGCATTTCTATTCACGTGTTGAAAATGTGAATTTGGTACACGTGACAGGGATTTCTGGAAAGCAAAAGTAAGGTAATTTGGCCCTACAATGAAGTTTGCAAATGCAAATCTGTATGTGGGTGTAACATTCTATTTTATGGTTCCAAGAGCAGGCTTGGAGCTCTTTAAAAAAAATTAAAAAACCCCCAAAACAAAAAAAAAACCACCCTGTGTTTTCAAGCAGCCTTTTGAGACAATCTGTCACCAAATTACTTTTGGGGTATTTTGTTCTATTCCCTGAAGAGTTACTTGTATTCAGCAATTAAGTTCCACTGACAAATACATGACTGATAGATAGAGAGCCATCAAATGATCAGTGAAGATGTAAGAGTATTACTTCCGCTACCTGTGTGTACGTACAGCACCTCAGTATGAGGTAACTGGAAAATATTCTTGAGTGTTGGTAACAGAATATATGTAAGTCTTTTCGCCTACTAAATGTGGCTTTCAGTTTTCTGCAATATGTTACAATTCTCTTAAACTGATGAAAACCCCCTCTATTAGATGGGAATTTCCACTAGCTTTTTATGCAGCTCTGCAGGGAAACAGGGATCTGCATGTGTACCTTATGTAGACGTGCTTATGTATGACAGAAACCATCACTTCCACGAGAGGCCAAGAGAGCCTCTCCCGTCTCTGCAAGGGACTGGTAAACATAAAAATTGCCAATAAGTTCAGTAAAATTTAAAGCCATTAAAGCCCAGATTCCATTAAAGACATTTACATGTTAAATAGCACAGAAGCTGTGGAGCGCTGTCTAGCTAACAAGTATCATTCATATACGCAGCAAAACAGGGTACAGCCTAAAACTGATCCGTTCTCAAATTTTTCAATAATAAACCGTGATCAAACTTCACAGACATTTAAAACAGACATTTAAATTGGCAATGTAAGCTATCCAAACAATTATTTCTTCATCAGCACTCTAGTTTATAAATAAAGTAGTTCACGTTGCTAAACTAATTAGGCCATAAAAGCAGCAGAACAACTAGTTCTTAAATATCTCTTTCATGTTAAGTACATCATACGTAAAACATCGGACTAGAAGAAAAAATAATGAGCAAGCCACTTATAATTATAGAACAATTAATAAGCTAGATGTAACAATCTGGGCCCCACCACAGTGCTGGAAGCCGCACAACCTTCTGCTCAGAAAAGCTTCAATGAAATGCACATGAATAATCTCATCTCACAAAGATGACTGTCACCTTCAAGCAAAGCACTGGAATAAGCCCATTTTCGTCTCTAAACCCTGAACAGAGAGAGAGCACATTACAGCACAGCTAAGAAACAAGATTTAAATGCAAATTTTTCCAGTCTCCACTGCTGGACAGTGGCTCACAATTCTGGGCGTCGGGGCTGCAACACCAGTAAGGAAAATCCTCCTTAACCGAGGTGCTTCTCGCCTGAATGAGAGACGGTCCCTTCAGCTTTATGATGAGGGAGCAGGTTTTGCTTTGTGGCTCCCTTACATATACTGCTCTTCAGGCTCCTTTGTTCATTGCAGCTACAGTCAGCACTACAAACCAACCGCTGGCCAGGCAGCTGCGTGACAGAGTTTTCATACTTAAAACTTTGGAGTTATTTGGGACTGAAAATTTTTCAAGGAAAAAATAAAGTTTCAATTACTTTTTATCCTCCCTTTCTTTGTGTCCTACGTATTAAGACAATTATTCTGACAAAATTCAGGCTTAGTTGTGCAACTCCATCATAGTTATGCTCACTTAAATTGTTAGCATTTAACTGTTAGCACGGCCCAGCCAGGTGTCTACTTCCTGTAGAGACGAACAGCAAACCACTGCATACAAAGCGGTGCAACTTCCAGTCAGAAGCGGGTCGTTTTCCTCATGTATTGGAAATTAACATTGCCCTTCCGTGAGCAGTTGTGCAGGTTGAGTGAAAACCCAGCCTTCACAGACTTTTAAAAGGACATAATTGAAGCTAAAACAAATTCATCTTCTAAATTAATGCAAGACTTTTTTGCAGTAGTACTGCAGAGCTAATCAGCAGTTTCTTCTACTTTGTTACTTAATTAGCTTTGCCAAATATAAATCCAATTTTTGAAAGAGGTCAGTCCCATCAAAGAGCTTACTTTCTTGAACCTAGAAAAAGAATTTCAGGAAGTGAATCATTTTCAGTAGCTCTTTGTAGAATCAGCTTGCAAATGGGGTGCAGACAGTAAGCTAATCTAATGCGAGTTATTAGATGACAGTCTAAAACTAAATAATACATTAAAAGCTAGCTTGCTTTCATAAACTGGTTACAATAAACTCTAAGAACCTTCAATACCTCACCAAGTCCAAAGGGGGTTAAGAAAAGTTCTGATAAAATAACTATATGACCAGAATTTTGTCATTGTTACCTTCTGAAGGCTCCTGAAGTACTTCTTGCATGTATCAGTTGACCCAAACTTACAGATTATAACACTACTGAGACCTCATCAACTGTAGCAAGTGCTGTGTCCCCTCTGTCACCATTCAGATCCTTCCACAGAGACAAAATTTGACAAAGAAACCATTTGAATCTCAAACATTAAAACACATCACGAGAGTCTGGTGTTTGTCTCTTGTTTTTCCTTCATTCTGTACTCTCACGTGCATGCATTAAAAAAATTCCTAAATCCAACCCCATAAAACCCATCCAAAGTCAAGTCTTAAAAACTGGGTGATCAAAAATATCTTATTTTTTTCCAAGGTGAAATTAAAGGCTTTGTACCTGCTAGGACCCAAGTTCATGGCTCAGTGTTTCTCCTGCGACAGTTGATGATGTAGCTTAATGGCGTAATCAACTCTTACAAGGGAAACCACAGAACCTTGAGCTCAGGTTTTGGCAGGTAAGTAAAGGAAAATGGTTTTCAAGGAGGTGGTTTTGAAAGTAGTTTGTTTGCATTTTGAGCCAGACAGCAAAACCACAACCTAATCTGTCCCTCTCTGCATGCACAGTTACCATGCAAAACAGCTGTGATTGTACTTGCTATTAACTGTCTGTATAATACCCTACCCATGCAGTTACCGTGTGCAACTCCTGCTTCTGCATGCACAGTTGTGTCTGCTGCCTTTAGCGCTCCTTTGGTAGGTCTTTTAAATAGAGTACAAGAAGGTAAACGACGTTTCCTTTTAAATCCAACACAACAGCGAAATACCACAGAACAGCACCAGCAACTTAGAATTATTGTAAAAATAGAGCGACGTGGACCCATGCGGGATATCTGGTCCAAAGCCACGTTCACAGCAGGGCTAACTTCAAAGTTAGATCAAGTTGCTCGGGGCCTTAATAGTCTTCTGTGTAAAACCTACTGTTAAGGTTTAAGCACTCAAACTAAAAATTTTAATGGGAGAGCTGCAGCTTCTTTGCCTAAACACAAGACTGACACCTAGAAAACTGATTCTTAATTTTGACTGCTTCTGTATATGGTCTCAGGCCGGGTAATCGCCGTGCAAGATGGGGGCAGTACTAGCACACCCACTGAGTAAGTCCTTCTCTGTAGAGGAGTTTGAAGAGCTTGGGGTCCAAAACACAGTAATCTGATGCAGAGGCTTGCTCAAAACCAACTACCACGTGCCCGAAGGTGTGCTCCTGAAAACCATTCCTCATCCGTACCCTGTCTGTAAAGCCGGTTGTCTTAATTTCGGAAGAGTTGCTGTGATCAGAATGGAGAGGTTTGTATCAAAGCACTCAGGTTTGCTCTAAAGTAATCCATGAAACAGTCTCCTCCTCTGCTAGATTCAGCAACTCTGGAAATCAGCGGAGGGGCTGTGGGCCCCAATATACGACAGCCAGCAGGCAGGCAAGGTCCTCCTCTCAGATGTTTGTTCTCCTGGCTACAAGGGCAGGTCCACCAGTGCAGCACCAGTGATGCCAAACCCACCAAGAGTCTTTAAGAGCACTGTCAGCAGTTAGTACAGCCTCATATTGGAAAACGCATCTGGAAGATGATGTGCTTTACAGGTTGAACAGTCCTTTTGTCCAGGCATTGCCCTCACTGGGGATTTGGAGAGAATCTAGCGTAACACACGAAGGGACAGAATGAGCAAACATTTAAAGCACTTGTTTTGGTTTTTTTAATGAAATAGGGTGCTGGAAAGTGAAGAAGGAAGGAAAGGATACTTAGTCTATCCCACCAGCAAGAACCACAGTTCCAGTCAAAAGGGGAGGAAGGCATCACTGAAAGGAAACGGGAGGAGGATTGACTATATGCTCTATACAGAAGAAGGTCTCTACCTGGAATGGAAAGTGGTGAGTTTCAGAGTTGACAAAAAGAGCCATAACTCGCACAACAAACTTGCCTGGATGGCACTGCGGCCTGTTCTGCTTGGGTTCAAATTCATACTCCAAGGAGAGCCTGCTGCTTTGCTATTTTCTACTTTTGCATGCAAGTACCAACTTTGTAAACTATCACATAAACAAATTTAAGATGAGTTTAGGGATTCTGGTAGATATGCTGCTCTTCAAAAACAAAGTTGTTTCCATTCCTTAAACTTTTGCCAGACTAAGTGTTTTGGCTGATCCTTTCCGTGCCAGCAGTCTGAGTATTTTTTAATCTTTTCAAGTGTCTGGATGTTCTTTTATTATGCCTATGAAAACCTACCTAAGTTACAAGTCTGTGATACACAGGCAGAAGTTGACATGGGCTAAGCAGAATGAGAACTTGTAGCATGGTCTGCTTCCTGGTGTAGGACCTTGCCTTACATGGAATTCCATGATGAAAATGAGAAACTAGTTCACACGAGGGACAACTGCATTGTATCAAGTGAGCATTAAGGTTGCTCCATCCAGCTTTCAGAAGCTGGGAAGCACACAGTATTTCCTACAGGACTTCAATTTGGTCCTATGAAATGTTGCCAGAAGAAAGGCTGGGATTCAGAGGTGCAAGGAGCAGGGTTCCTGATCGCCTTAAGTTCCCACGGAGTTTACCACCTCAATCTAATGAACACAGGCTTCCTTTTTAGCTGCATGGTACAGCCAGCCCCTCCTCCCAGGTGAGCGCCTCCTTACGCACATGGATCACCTACTGCAGCACTACAGATGTTACTGGAAATGGAAAGAAAAGGTACAACACATTTCATCCAGACTGGTTCAGCTCTGTATCATCTCAGCGGTTCACCTCATCAGCTGCACCACGCCGACATGCCCTGTGTGGCAGATAGTTTACCATTAGCCCAGGCAAGCTAGACTGGTCCCATACATCATCTAATACAGTAAGGTAGTTCAAAGTAAACTAAAATGAGGCATAAAAGCTGAGTCCTGGTGTGTAGCCTAACAGATCAGTTTTGCAGTTCCTTCTTTCTTACTCTTGTTTTCCTTCTGCAGGAAGTGGAAGAGTTCAGCTTTATTACCCAGCTAGCAGGCTTGACAGACCACCTACCCGTAGCAATGCGTCTCATGGTGTCTACAGGAGAAGATGACCCTTAAAACTGACCAGCTCTGAGAGGTTAGAAGAGGGAAACGTTAACGATATTAAGAAAATATCAGAGCATAAGAACGAACTATTCTGGTGCCACGTTAGGAAAGATGACCAGACCTGACCCGGGCTACTCCCAGAATGTACCAACAACGGCGGATATAAGAAGGGAAGAAATGGAAGGGGTTGTGGCCAAAAGCCACTGTCGCAAGTTGCTCAGGCAACAGGGCAGGCCTGTACTACCATGCTTTCACTGTGGACCGAACGGAACCAAGATGGAAGTCCTAATTCCTTCTGAACCAGTGCCATTCTTACTAAAACATGTTTTTATACTAATATATAGCACAATTTAGTTTGTAATTAGTCTGTGAGTTAGTGCTGCTCAATGGTTTTTTGCATAATTTCTTTGTATAACTAAGAAGCTAAAGCTTTTTTTCTTTTTTTAGCCTGTTAAAGTTGTAGTAGCGTGCTTGCATCAGTAGCATGCGCCCGCACTGCATGCCACTCTGAGATAAAATAGTCAGTAAGGTACCATGGGGAATATCAGAATGGAAGCGAGTTCAAAAATCAGATACCAGCCAAAGCAAGGCATTCTGGGACTGGCAAACCCTTCCGTCCTTACAGATGGACCTTAAACCAACGAAAAACTCTATCTAGATTTGCAGACCAGTATCTTCCTGTCCGATTTAAGGATACTTAAAAGATTTGGAATTAAGACTTTGAGAACACAGCTTCTACCCATATTCCAACTGTGTTCCCACTGAAATTACGAAGTGTTTTGTCGGACTAATGACTCCAGAATTGGACCTTTAGCATTCTAAGTGCAACTTATTCCCTTAGGAAGAAATATAGTTCCCTTGTAATGTCTTTTCTTTCTTTCCCATCCGTGGGGCAGTTCTGCATTACGGTATGGGATGATATGTATGTTACAGTAGAGTGAATAGATTCCTGTAGTACCATTGGTAACACCAGAGCCAACATTCTGCCTTAGCTAGAAAGAGTAAGTGGGAAATAGCTTGTAAAATGCATGCTAGGTATAGAGTTAAAATAAACATAAGTGACATTTTGGGAGAAAAAGCGTAGAACAGTGTACGATTGGTAAGGCAGGATAATCTAACAATTTTCCAAAGGAATCAGTACAGTTAAAGGGAAAGTGTAGTGTGGCTAGCTACTAGAGAATAGCCCCGAAACATATAGTGAACGAGGGTTTGTTTATGTCTGTGAGACAACTCTGCATTTGTTAAGCACTCACAGACTTTAACAGGGGTCTTGCCATCTAATTCATATGTTCTTTCCACGGCAGCTCTTCAAACGTGGGGCTGCCCTCTGCCATCTTATCCCCAGGACCTGATGTACCCAGCCTCTGTAACCTTAACAAAAATAATGAAAAGCTGGCAATCAGGTCCATAATGAGGCTTGGCATTTTTTTTAGGTATTTACATTCAGAAGCGTTTGTGTTGCTGGGAGAACAATGAGAGCCCTTGCATTTTAACCGAAACTTAGTTCCTTCTGCCTACTTCCTGTTCAATTCTAGTGTTATTTCCTCTTACATTACAAATTCCCTGTGTTCAAAAGAGAAGAGTTAATCTAATACTTAGACTTGCTCCATTAAGTAACCTGTTTTAGTTATGCTGGCCACAAACTCCTGAAGATGCTCTTGGTTTGGTTTAGTTTATACGTGCTAGGAATCAGCTTGAGCTAAATCAGAATAGATTTAAATCAGAAATCCCAGTCTGCACAGCCTCTGGTACTGGCTTAATTAGCTACAGTAAACAACAGAACTTTTACTTAGATCTGCCTGATTTTGCAAGCAGAGAAACTCATAAAAGTACTGGACTAAGAGTACTGGCTAATTCCAAGTAGGTAGCAGGCCACTTCTCACCCTCTCCCACTGCACCTGGTCTTGACGCGTTTTATGCCTCATTTTCCAGTCCTGGCGTCCCTTCAACAGAGACTGCCTCTTAGAAGTGTACTGTGCCAAACCACGGGGTAGTCTGCAAGTGCAACCCATGGGGACTCAAAAATGGAACCAGACTCAATTCCCCCTTTTTGATAAAATTAGGAAGTCAAGTTTACAGCATCAGAGACTTTAGCGTACTATCCCAACGCACCACCGGTTACCCACTTTGTATGTTTCTCTTTATAGTGAGGGTGCACGTACGTGCAATGTGTTTTTCTGGTTTCTTATCTCTCCACTCAATTCAGAAAAACTTGTACCTGAAACAACGCTTTTAATCCTATTTTCTACCTTGCTTGTATTTTATTAACCTTTTTAAAAAAAAAACAAACAGTATCAGTAGCAATTTGTGTGCTGTCCAGCAGCTATTTCTCAGTAGTAAGATTAAATATAAGGTACAGTATTTTTAATAGCTTTCCTAACAATGTAAATTACAATTTGATATCTACTTCACTAAGTATCAATTGCAGGAGCTGAATTTGACACTGTGTGGGATATAATCATAAAACTACTGCCAAACAATACTACATTATTTACAGTAAAACTAACATGGTCTAAATTACTTTTAAATTAGTTCTGTGGCTTTGTGCTGACTAAAAACCAGGCACTTTTGTCAACTTTTTGAGATACGTTGAGAAATATTTTTTCAAATTTGAAGTAAACCGATTTTGATGTTCTTAGTTTCTCAGTGATCAAGGAATGGATAGTTGTAAAATGTTCTCTTTAAACAATACATGTACATTTAGTCAGTCTAGGTAGTTCTTATTTACTGTCTTAAGGATCTAACTTTGCAAGAGAGTGATGCTGGGAGGTACAGCACTGAGGCACCACTGTACAGATGCTCCTTGGTTTTTTGCATTGATCCTGTGCCTTCTGATGCCTTGGTACACTTGCAGGAGCCAGAGCGCATACGTACCGGTAAACTGTAAAGAACAGGCTTTGTTTTCCAAAGAGTAACACCCTGGAGAGAAAAATGAGGTTTGTCTGCACCACTACTACTACAGTTCCATGTACTATCTCACAGAGAACCATTCAGACACCATCTGTAGTGGCAGGATATCAATCGTTACAAGCCTTAGACAGATACTATGTAATAGAATATTTGCATTTTAAAACAAAGGGGGGGCAGAACGTGCCCAGGAAATCAAACCCTGGATAGCCTTTTGCAGAAGTCAACCCCACTTTGCTTAAGGACAGCATGACCCAGTTTATTAGTAGGATGATATTTATAAGAAATCTGAGTTAAGCTTACTCTGCTATGCTTACCCCACTTTGTACAGGAATTTCAGGTATCTTCAAGAAGTGGGTGATAACACTGTTCTTGGTTTAATAACTGCCACTCTACAGGTATACTGTAGATGAAGTGCCAGCTGTTTTTATAAAAGCTAGATAACATCTGTTTCTCATGTTCAATTTGCATTTTACAACAGCACTTCTAGAACAAGTGAACAAAAGACACAAAGAGGACAGCCAAAAACTAAGAATTTCCAGAAGTTTCAAGGATGTCAGGTCCTTACAAAGTTGGTACCTTTAGATCACTTCAAAAACACAACCTACAGAACGCAGCCTCTCGGGCACTTTCAGATCCAGTTAACCTGTGCACTGTTTGCCCGAGGGATGCATGATCCACCCACTCTGTGCCACAACTCAGCCACCAAGGACCAGGGTAGTAACGGTGCACAGCTTCATGCTATGTGAAGAAGTGTTTACTATAAATAATTCGAGTGGTGGCCAGCTAGTTGTGTTCCATCACAACCTGGACACTTACTAGAAGCTGCGTAAAGCAACCAGACACAGACGGTACCACAGACTGGCTCCAAGAGAGGCCTGCAGCCTGCTGCAGAGAAACCCTTGAGAAAGCTGGCTTGTATAAGGCGTTTACCTATCGTGTGCTAGTGTTACAACAAGGTTTTGTCCCAGAAGCACTCTCGGCTAGTCTGGCTAGACCCTCACTCCTACTTGTTGGGTAAGACAGTAAGATTTAAGGAACTTACTTACAATTCCAATAAAGAAGTTTTTTTAAACGGCCTTTGTTTGGTGGTCCAGATTAAGCAGATCTGACTGTCCCCGGTTTGGTCTCTGAGCTACCCTGGGGTCACACCGCAGCACATCAGTGTCAGCACATATCATCGGCTCAGAAATGAAGCATTTTTACCTCCTCCTGGCACTATAGGACGAGATCAGAAATACACTCTGAGAAACTCCCAATTTTACCATCCATTACAGTGAGGGTCAAATTGTTACTGAAGGTCTCATTTTTCCACGCCATCTTGTTTTAAATACAATCTTGATGCTTTTAAAGACTTGTATTATTGCTGAGGTTTAGAAATCCTATAATAACAATAACCTTTTTTATTTTGATGATTTTTCGGTATTGTATCCTTCTGGAACCTAATGTTTTTATATGGTAAGCACACACCTTCTGACATTTTGTTATAAATGTATTAAAAAAATAAAAATTTAAATATTTTCATTGGTTTCTTTGCCTGCAAGAAAACCGCAATCTCAGACCTGATAAAAACAAGGTATTTTGAACAACAGGGAGGGTTTTTTGTCTTTTATTGGTGCTGAAAGGAATAACTGGTTGATGCAAACAAGATAATAAAATTTCAAGGCTCAAATGATTCTGTGCAGTCCACTTTTTCTGGTCTTGTGATGTGGAGTCTGACAGCACTAACGGAAATCTCACTCTAAGTGCAGTCTGGTGGGCGGCTGCACCTGTTCTAGTGAACCTGCAGAAAATAAAGGGTGAAAGAAATGAGTGCTTTAACTCTCCCTCCACCTTGGCCTCTACTGCTCAGACATCCCCCTGCTCAGACGCACCTCGCTCAGTTTTCAAGGCGTGCAACCTTCACGCAAGCATTCGCAGTGCCTGCTGGAGGCTGCAAACCTGAACCCCGCATCTCGCACCAAGTTCATGCTTTAAGTAGGAGGATACCCACTCCACGCTGCACTCTGCTGGGATTTAATGTAAGACCACTTCACAAGAACAATTTCTTATTATGCAGTTGTACATCTTGACGCCTCAACAGTGATCTAGTCTCTGAACTAATGGAGAGCAGGTTTTTATCTATATACTGTCCAGTCAAAGATAATTTAAAAAAAAAAAACAAAAAAACCCACAACACCCCCCCATACATATGTCCTTACGAAATCCAGTGATTTAACAAAACAATGTCAAGTGAAAAGAATCCATTTTACTGGTTCAGTCTTTCTGAACAGTCCTCAAAGTCCTTTATAAAAGCCGGTACGGAACCCCACCTCGGAGAATTTACTTTTTCCACAAGCAGAAAGGAGGAAATCAGTGGAATGCAAGTGATTAAGGAAGAGCACAGCGCACAAGTTTCTTGTCATTAGCTCAGGGAGGAACCGCTCCACCTTATGAGACAGGATGTTCGCGATGGATCTCTGCAGCTTTCTCCATTGCCGTACAGGTGATTTTTTGTCTGCTTTCTGATGCTACCATAGCATTATACTTTGACAGACTTCATTCTCCAGCGGTGGATTCCTAGTATGTGACTCTCCTGCAATACCTCATCTATTTTTCCATTGTTACCGTTTGCGCTATTATGTGAACAGCTCACAAGTGGGTTCCCCTCTAAGAAGTGCTACAGAACCGCGAGGTAAAACACAGTCATTTCTTGGACAGCTCGCATCTTCCAGACACGTAACTAAGAAGAACAAGTACAGAAAGTTGCAACTCCTTCCCACTCCCTCTGCCCGAGGAGTTGTAGTGTAGTTTATTACAAACTCGTGCCCAC